GTAGACAAGTTGCCAATGCTTTTGAGTTGCACCGAAGCAAAGCTATTTAATGCGAGAGTCTGGTAAAGTTAGACAAGCCTAAAAAAATCCTAAACAAAAAGGGGAAACATACCCACAAATGTTAGTATGGTGTTCTGAGAGGTTGTGATGCCTGAAAAACTGAACCACAGCTCTACAATAGTCAATAAGCTTTAGGTGTCAGATTTAACCGAGCCTTTCTAATGTAGAAAACATATTTTGCACAACAGACTCCACTAGGCTTTGCGATAACCAACCTTTAATTGAAATATCTTGGAATAAAAGCTTCCCCTTCTATTGAGTACGTCTAGGTATGGGCATTGACACTGTGAACAGACATTATCAGTATGCACAGACAGAACTTGTCCGTTGCACGTTTCTGTTCATTCGTGAAAATATTTAACTCAAAAGAAATAATAGTGATTACCTTCTGTCCGCTCCGTCCAGGTTCTCCCGGTTCGCCCTGCAAGACATAACACCGTGTTCTTCTCAGCTGCTTCATTTACAGACCATCTGAACCAGAGCTGCACGGCTTTTTATCCAGAACTTTCCTAGTGTTTCTGACCAATTACAGTGGATTTAGACAAAAGACCATGTTCATATAAACAATCACTCGCAGATCCACAGATCAGGGCCTCTTGAGGCTCAGCGTTTTGTCCAAGAGAAACGTGAAGAGAACCGACAACCTTTCAACTAACACACCAAACTATGAGTCATGCAGACATAAAAGTCTATTAAAGCCCAAGAGATGAATCAATGTCTTTAATGTGGGCTATGAGGCTTTTCATCCAGGGCAGCGATCTGTCAACGTCTTGTTAGAATTGCCGTAAGAATGACAGTGAAGTTTGTATCCTTTTCACACTAAAATTTAAAGAATATTCAGGTTCTTTAAAAGGAATATCTGAACTGAAAATGAGCGAAAGGCAGTCAAAAATTTCAGACAAAAACTTTGCTAAACATGTAGAAAGCCTGTTTCAAAGTGGTTTCATTTTGTCTTTACATGTGTGCCTTTCATGTCTCTGCAGAATAAATTAGGGATTGGAAGCCATTTCTTAATATGTTAAACAGTCACCTTAGTTGATCGAAGCATTCACCGTTTCAATATTTTAAATTAACTTTTAGCTTTTGTCACAATAAAGGAAGATACTTGACTAAGTAGCTTGTTTATTGACTAAGATATAATGCCAAGAACAGCTTAGTTTGAGCAATTTCACTGCAGCACATTGCTCTTCACATGTAGTTTCAAATTTTACATAAATTTCTCCAGGGTCTCTTTGACTCACCAAACATTGTTGGAATGAGAAAAGTTAGGAAAATCTTCTCATTTTAGTCGCAAGGCAAACATGATGGTGCTAGTAGACTGTTTGTACTTGTTATAGTACCGCCACTGGTCTCACATATTTCCTGACAAATATATTGCACCTTTGAATTCCAGCCAGAAGAACTAATGACTTCCTATTTTTTTTTTTTTTTGTCTCCCAGCAACATGTTTATGTGCATTTTGGAGGCGCATGTGCTTCTTCCCAGACTGGCAGCACATTTTCACATTTTTCAAACAAAACAAAACATAAAAATATTTTTTTCAGGACTTACCTTGATGCCTGCTGCAGAGGAGCCTGCATCACCCTAAGGTAAAAAAATAAATAAATAAAAATACAAAAGAATATATCAAGAGATGAGACAGAAACCCAGACGTAAGATTTTATTTTATGCATCACTTTCTGTAAAGTTAAAACAGGGGAATGTTTGCATCAGCGAAATGGCTCTAAAAGTGATTTCGAAAAAAGCTAATTTGCTGAACAATGCCGAATAAAATTATAAAACGGCCGCATTTTTGTGGCGAAAACTGCAAGGAAATCCAATTAGAAGGAAGGCTGTTTGCTGTTTTAAACAATGAAAGCAGCATTTACCTTCCCACAGACCTTCTGATACAGCATTTAAAGAGGCTTCAGAGCTGGAAATCATTTCAGTGTTTAAAATGTCAGAGCGCAGCAGCTTCGCAATCGTGACACGAGAGGTGAAATCTAACACTATAATAGAAAAATCCACAGTAAAGGAGGTTAGAGGCTTGATAGATGTACTGTAACCATTCAAAATGTACATTTCTCCAGGTAATGCATTGAACTGGATGGAGACAGAGCCACTTATGTTGCGCCCCCCCCCCCCCCCACGCTTCCAACAACGTCGTCCAGACATCCAGAAGCGAGGCCCTCTGCTACGCATCGCATTACTGCTGCAGTGTACAGTTAAAGCAGACATAAAACAAGGGGCCAATAAGTGTAATTATGGGCGGTTGGTGGGAAAACGGAGCAGGGAGGAGGAGACTTGGTGCCTTCGGCTCTGGTGCGGACTCTGCGGTTTCACTACACATACGCCTCACGCTCAGAAGTCACAGCAGGAATGCATCTCGCCCTCAGCTTTTTATGGGAATCATTATGATGCACAGCACACAAGTCAGTGTTTAATTGAAGCTCATTTTCCTTTTTTTTTCTCCCCCCACCCCTCCTCTTCACAACAAACTGCGCTACTATTTGCAGCAGTGCTTCTTTTGTTGCATGCTCAGGGATGCCTCTGTGAACGTCTCGAAACATGCTATTCCAACCTAGGAGCCTTTATTTTACACTGCATTCGGGCGTGTGAGCAAATCTAAGTGAATGCATTTTTACATTTCACAATGCAGCAAAATCCAGTTCACCGTGATGCTATGCGTGGGAAAAAAACAACAAAAAAAAACAAAAAAAAAACAAGGATTTCACACACTATCAAGCTGAAATGCTCCCCCCTCCTCTCCCAACCTATGCTTAGGGGGTGGATTTCATGCTGTGGTTGACCAAAAACTAATAAAACTTGTAAACTTTATGGAAAGGCGTTATCAAATGTAAAACAAACGTACGCATCAGTGTTGGTTTTCACCTGCTATTAGCTGGCAGAAATGCCCACATCTGTATTCCATTGTGACATCTCGTACAACGGAGAAACAAGAAAAGACCTCCACTCGTAAAGTTCATAGGCAAAACGTGTTCGCAGTTCAAACAATGCTTTTTCCCACAATTTATCACAGCGGGACCACGCTGTTGTAAGGGGAATGAATCTAAAGGGCACTTTTATTTTTATTTTTTTATTTTTTTACACAAGAAGCCAGCATTTCTCTTGTGGTGGTACCGGAGGATTCCACGCAGGCGATTAACGCTTAGATGTGTCACGACACATCTAACACGAGCTCGAGACCCAGGCGAGAGTTATGACCGGGCTTTAATCCCTTCCAAATGTCCGCCGTATGGGATGGAAAAAGCGGTGGAGCTTGGGAGGTGAGCTGAGGTGTGGCGGAGAGAGAGAGAGAGAGAGTGCTGAAATGTCCCATCTGGGCCAATTACCAAGTGGAGGCTGCAGAACTGCGATTTAACCACAGGGCTGAGTGAGACGGAGAGCTGTCACCGCAACTCCTTCATTATGGGCACCCAGACCTGTCGCCGCACACTGGCATTTATAGATAATAGCCCAAAGGTCTCATAATGCATGCTTGGTAAATCAGGCCGTTTAGCAGCTGTTTGCCTGGATGGCGAGATGCGCAAATAAGATGGAGGGAATTAATTTGGGGAGCAGCGACGCCAGAACCGAGTTGCGACGCAAGTCATGCCACTGCAACCCTCATACATGGCTCTTATTCAACGTTACGGCCATTAGAAGAGATGACCAAATCCACTGGCCTCAGCTAAATATCAGCCTCAGTCACCGAGCAAGAATATATGTGAGGTTTAGGAGGGCAGCAGGAGCCTGCCAAGACGTTAGATGTGGGCCAGTTCGCAAGACGTTTAGGATGTAAAAAATTATTTTGCCACACTGCTCAGAGCCTGAAACTTCCCCCCCCCCAAAAAAAAAAAAGAAATCCAAGGCAACACTTTGACAGCGTTCATCTAGTTCTAAAAACCCTAAATGTTTTTTTTTTTTTTTTTATCTGCAACTTTTTTTAAAAACAAGATGAGCCACAGTCAATTTCACACCTAGTTAAATACTTAGACAGTAAATGGCTCAGAACTAAAGCTTTTAACTGGGGTAATGATTTGTTTTAAATGAGGCCAGAGAAAACACACAGACACAGTTGGAAACAGCGATTTTCTCCACTGATGATAGCAACACAGCATGTACTGTCCTGCGTCTACGCAAAAGATGAACAGTAGTGGAAAACAACAACAATTACCCAAACAATTATGTTTCTTGAAAAGGTATTCCTACATTTTAAGCTTTTTTAAATTTTGGCACGTTGCACAAATCAACTTTAAATATCTTTTATTTGGATTATTTGACTGTCGACTTGGAAGAAAGCCATTAGAAGGACTTTGTCCAGCCTTGTTGCTGAGAGGCGCTACACAAATAAACATGACTAGACTTGTTTTAAGTTTACCACAAGCCATGAGGTGACGCAGCAAACACGTAGAAGATGGTGCTCTGCTCGTTTGAGACCAACATTTAACGCTTTTGGCTTGCCATGTTATGGCGGCCATTTTTAGATTTCCAAAAAAAAAAAAAAACGAGGCCCAGTCCTGAAAACCATCTCTGTTTACTTCAAAATACTTTTTTGCTTTTGATATGAACATATTGAAAGTATGACTTCTCTATGTGGTTAGAAAGAATATTTAAATGGAAAAAAAAAAGAAATCAAGGAAGCTTGATATATCGTACCGATATCGGTATGAGGCGATGTTGGTCTTTTTTTTTTTTTTTTTTACATTGGTCTGATAAGTAAAACTGGGCTGATATGAACAGCCAATGTTCATTTGCATGTTGTTGAAGTTTGTGTACGGGCTTCACAAAGGAGATGGAGTTGGATATGTGGTACTGTTTGGTCATGCGATGGTGATGGTGAGGTTTTTAACTGATGCTAAGAAGCAATGTAGGTGGTGTAATAACTTTAACTTTTATGATACAGGTAAGTACTGCCATAAAAACAGCATTAATATTGTTTAGCAATAGTGATCAATGAGTCCTTAGTTATTTTTGAACCTGGACATTTTCAATAATCAAAGAAAATCCGATGAAAAGTGGACATGTCTGGGGATTTGAAGACGTTCGCTAACCCTGAACACATCAACCCGTTGTGAAACACGGTAGTGGATGCATCATGCTGTGCGGCTGCTTCCCCCTGCCCCTCCACCAACTTTGACAGGAAACCTTCTCACAGTTGATGAGAAGATGGACAGACCAAAAGGAGGTTCTCCTCCGACAGGCCAACAAGTCAAAGTCCAGAAGAGACTTTAATTGAAAATGAAAGTTAAACCTGTGATTTGACGAAACATTGACTCAGTGGGCTGAATACAAATGTGAACCACATGCATTTTACTTGCAAAAGAGAAAATACAAATTAGTTTTCTTTCCAGCGCATAATGATACAGCAAGGATCGTGTTGACCTTAGTTGTAGTGAAGTGGGAAAAATTCAAAGTGTATTCATGTCTTAGCATTTTAACTTTGCTATGAAGGAATAATTAAGAGCTGCTTAGCAGCTACCATGAATCTCTGTAAAAAGTCCATGCTTAGTTTGTGTTCACTGATCATCATCTGTTCGAGGAAAACCGTGGCCTGACTGCTTACGCTGTCGTTTTCCTCACCGCTCTCTGCTCCCTGAGGTCTCCAAGCTCAACATAACAAAGCGCATGCTGTCTCACCTCTCACTTAGTGTTTCCACATTTTTTTCCTGCACTGCGTGCTGCGTATTGTTAACTTTGGCATGCTTAGTCTGGAGGACTGAGGATGCCCTCCGCCCCACTCATGTCTCTCTGTTCTCTGGTTTCTCCAACCAGCGGTGCTACAACAATACCACGGCAGAGGAGCAATTGATCAGACAAAAAACTCTGATGACAGGGGCCCTGCTTGAGCATACATTTTCTTCTCCTGCTCTGAATTTCAATCTGACATATGTTAAACTCATCTGAAAGTATCTTGATTGAGGCTATTCTTTCCATATGTTGCGCGCTACGTTAAATAAAACATCTAACCTGATGTTGACAGATTGAGATGAGGTAATCTTATCCATCTTAACCTAAACACTCTACTACAGTGGTCCTAAAAATGTGTGCAAAAGAATTCAGAGTTTTGTGGTGCAAAAAAAGAAGAAGCTTAGTTTAATGTATGTTCACACTTTAATGCGATCTTGTGCACTGTAAAACGTAAAATTCAACTGAAATCAGAGAAAAATACAAAAAATTTAAAAAGGTAAAACAATCTGGTTATATGACCTTAAATAATATTTTTTGAAGTAAGTGCCTTTAGGTTAGATTTAGCTTTAGCATTTACTCTTCTTGAGCCATCGTAAATCTGACTACGCTGAAAACAAAAAAAAAGTATCTGGTCTTGAAGGATTTTCATAAAAGTAGCTGATTAGTATCCTTTGGCTGGAACCAAAATTGAACATTTACAGAGTGATTCCTAAACGTCTACTTGGCATAAAAACATTACTGTGCATCATCAAAACAACACCATACCTGAAGAGATGCACGGCGGTAGCAGCTTCATGAATATGAATACGTTTCTACAAGTAGATCTGTGGGTTTTCCGAAGTTCAAATTCCAAATTCAAGTCAGTTTTGAGTCCAAACACACATCCAAAGTGAGAAGCCATTTTTGAAGCCATCAAAATGGGCTTCAAAGATTTAAAATTAAAGTTAACGTCAAACTAGAATCCAGAACAAAACACAACAGAAAATCTGTGACAAGAGAGGTCCTCACAACCATGTAGATTTAGAGACCTGTGGCACGGTAGAGTGGGCATAAATTAACAAATGTAGCTGTAGCATGCTAATATATATTTAAACAAAAAAACTAAATTCTGAGATTAAGGCAGAAGGCGCTTCGATAACAGATTAACATGTGCACATTTATGCAACCAAGTTATTGTTCCTTCCTTATGTTATTTAACCCCCCCTCCAACAAACTTGCTTTTCTGCTGAATTACTCAGGATCCATGTCACTATATAGGGGGATAATACACAGTTTTTTTACCTCACCATAGTCACATTTTTTACAGCTGCCTGTATACTTTTTATGTCAACTATATTTCTAAGTCTTTACAATGACTCTCCCTGGAGTATGCACTTGAAGGATGAGTGGTAACTTCAACTCCTCCAGGAAAAAAAAAAAAAAAAAACTATCACTTTTTCCCCTTGTTTTGCTCTAAGGTATACTGGATCAAAGCGTCGCATGAGCTACAAAGTTTTATCACCCTACGCCTACCTTTCCGTTTTGTTCATTCATTTTCCACAGATGATATCTTTCATCTCTCCCCCCCCCCTCCCCCCCGCAGCCCCCCGAACGGTATCCTTCTCGGCTGCCGAGTTCGGCAGCCTTTTAAAAACCGCAGCGCCCATAAAGCGAGAGGTTATCAAAGTTGTTCTCCGCTGAACAGCAATAAATTGGCAGTGACGTTTTGAGTACACTGCTTCCACACGGCTGCCGGTCTGTGAGTTACACTTTGTTTTCATACCTAGCAGTATTCAGAGCAAAAAAAAAAGGAAGCAACTCCGGTGCATAATACATCAAAGTGTTTAGGGCTGGCTGTCTTGGAGCAGCAATTGTGTTACCACTTTTTTGGCAATCTTTGAAGAATTTTTATTCTTTCCGAGAAATGTGAGGAGCTGAATCAACATTTTTTATGTAATGGTTTATTCAAATTGATAATGGCTTTCTGAAATGCTCTAAAACAGGTTTGCATAGAAAAGGGGTCCAACTTCTGTTGTGAGCTCATAAAATTGAAATGAGGCCGCAGTCTGTTTCCATGAATCCTGCTTTAACATGATAAAAACAGCAAAGGCGACATGGTGGATTTTAGATAGAAAGAATAATAACTCTGAACATCATGTCAGTACCCATATGAGACGAGCCTTTACAGAAAACAAAAGTTTTTTTTGGACAAAAACATCCATCTTTTCAGCGGAGCTCGGTTCTTCCTATTGTTCAAAATGGATCTCGGTTTGACAAGCTGTCTTTATGATAAATGGTCCCTCCAGAAAAACGGAAAAAAAAAAAAGAGAAAAACAGCATCGGTGTATTGTTGAAATTAAGTTCACATATAACACAATGACAAATCAAGTACTCGGATGATTGCTTTTATTCAGCCATCACGACCGTTTTAGTGATGCCACATGACCTCAGCTGCCGCTGGCGGTTTCCATATATCTCATCTCAGATGGCGAACATTAACTTTGAGTCATGCTTTTTTGGCCAAAGCCAGACCATCTACTGTTTCTCTGAGCAGGCTCCAAAAATATAAACACAGAGGAGAAAATTAAATAATTTACATACCTTCTCGCCCATGTCACCTTTCGGTCCGTCTTCACCCATATCGCCCTGCGATGAGATCACATGAAATCACATTCAGCCATTTTTTACGGCGCGGGAACGAATCGGGGATGAAAAGCTGGATGTTTAAACACGCCTGCTTCGACAGGCACACAGTAGGACCGGTCCTCTATCTGTGACCAGCTGCCACGTTAAACAGTGTAATGGACGCTTGAGGAAAAGGCCAAGAACACCGGAGCCAGAATTAAGTATCATTACCATACAAATGCACGGTAATGGCTCTTTATCTTCACTTTGGTCACTGAGTCATCGCATGTGTTTCAAGCACGGCTGATTTCAGGTGATGTAAGAGCAGCTGTGGGGGTCCGAAACTCTTGGCATTGACGACTGCGCCACGGATAACTAAATTCGCAAACTTGGCTCCGAGTGCCAGTGCTGTTTTCTATCCGTGCCTGATGCTTAGCTAAATGACTAGCGGTGGTTTTTCTCTTATTTTCATCTGCTCGTCGGACTAAAACGTAAACATTAGATTCACATCTCATGAACAGGCCTCTGTGAGAGCTGCCAAAAGGCTGATATCTTTGTAAAGAGTGGTGACTGTATGAAAAAGGCTGACGTGTCATCCGAGTCTGGAAGGAGAATTAAGTACTCTTCCATGCAGTGGGCAACTGTACACCTGACTTATGGTCAAAACACATTAGCAGAGTGCCATGCATGACAGAACGATGTAATAATTTCAACTATAACAACCCAGATTGGTGGTGTCATACTGCAGTCTCAGCGGCCACTTAATAAATCACTGTTCATTTGTCCAATTAAGCCAATTTATGGGGCCTGGATGGTAGGGCCGGCGCTCCAAAACCAGCTCTCATTTGTCATAGTTGCGTGACAAGTTTAGCGTAATTTTGTTCTTGGTCCCATGTTGTCCACCCCTTCTTGTCAAACCCTCTTTGCTGAACCTTTCGCCTCCTTTCGCAGGCAGGACTATTGTGCGATTAGTCAGAATTTTTTTTATACTCAACTTCCAGAAGGGGGGGAAACTGTCCGAGGTCAGTGATTTTCATCCTTTAGTGGACTCTGTTGCTATGTTGCCGTTGCATTTCCTGCTTTTCAGTGAACATCACCCGCTCACTGTGGGCATTCGATTTGATATCTCTTTTCGAAACGACGTTAATAAACTCTCCTTTTCGTTTTGTAATATTCATTCGAAAATGAAATTAACGGACCAACTTGTTCGATAGCCTGGAGCTTTACTGCATGATTTCCAAATCGGTAGCGAAAGCACGTGCAAAAATCCAAGTTCTGCCCGCCAACAACATAACAAAAAAACAATTGCATAAAGTTTATGGTTAAAATGTCATTCCTAAAGCAAATATTCTGAAAATATTCACAGAACCAATTTGTTTCAAGCCAAATGCCAGAAACAACTCATCTGTGAGCTTGCTACTCATCGTTTTTCCCCTCCTAGAGATCATTTTAGCCCAACATAAAAGCTTACCAAGCATTCTAGTTAGCATTTTAGCTCGCTAACATGTCAGCTAAAATCCTTTTCTAGTCAGCTAATGCTAGAATGCCATGTTATTTAGCTAACATGCTAAAACTTGAAGTTTTGACAGGACATTCTGAACAGCTAATCCTATCTAACGGCACAATGACTTGTACAAGGAGGTTTTAGCTAAAATATTTCAAAAGTGGCTGACAGAAAATGGGACTAAAGTATAGCACAGAATCAATAAATCATAAGTAAATGTTGACAATGTTGAACATTTTATCTGCTGGTTAATTGGTTTACAGTCAAAACCCTAAAACAACAGTTTATATGTTGACATATTAGGTTCCTCTAAAACACGAGAGGCTCTGGTTTTTGCTCCAAGCTCTCTGTCTGGCAGTGAACTGGTCATCTCACTTTCCATAAATCCACTAGACTACAAATCATGCACTGACTTAGGAGGTCTGTGGGTATGACATCAAAGCTCGTTTCCTTGTGTAAATTTTTTGGGGAAAACCCAAAAAAAAAAAAAAAAAAAAAAAAGCTCTCGCAGCTCGTCTCCTTGACATGTGTGTTTTTCCATCAAGAAATCTATATGTTGGAAAGTGAAAAGACTGCGAGCACGGAGTCAGTATCATAACAGTTTAGTTTCCCCGAGTTTGCTTGCTGGCTCCTGAATGGGAGAACAAAGCCAAAGACTACAATTTATATTGACAATACTGGCTTTACTTCAGAAAGGCAATTCTCAGTTTGGAGGTTCAGACCCTTGAAGAGGTCTGACAGCTCTGGAAATTAACTAAAATTACATTCTGCTGAACAAATACATTAATTTATAAGACTTCACTTGTAAGAAGGTTTTCTTTTTTTGCTTCTGTGTTCATAAAAAAAAACAGCTATTAGGACTAAAGTGCCAGTCTCTTCTAAAACTAGTCGAATCTATGGAGGTGGAGCTTCTCTTGAGAAGACGAGGCCTGTTTAGATGGGCTCGTAAAAAAGGTGCGGAAACTCCTGGTATGAAGTGAATATTTCAAGAGTGGCGTATTGTGTGTGGGAAGGCCTGGAAGTCGGTTTTACACCATTTTAAACTGAAACATTGGAAACCAACCTACCTTCTCACACCACTGATTTATGCTCATGACTGTTTGAATTGACGTGATCCTGCATCATTAGAATCTGCTGGGTGCAGTTTCAGCAACTGCACATTGAGCTGTTATTTGCATCCAGCTAATTCTCCACAGGACGCCCGTAATGCGCGGGAGCAGCAGTTGCTACGAGATTGTTTCCACAAAGCCTCGTTATTACAGTGAACCAGGTATGTTGGCGGCGGAGGATAAGTCTGATTCAACTGAAAACAAGAGCCCGAGGGCCGATTTTGTGGTCTATAAAGTATCCTGAATCATCAGTTCCTTCCCGATCACTGTTGACTTGGTCAGTGTTTACACCTCCCACTTCCAACTAGACCAAAGTTATGGCACCATTAGAACCATGGAATGGAGAAAGTAAAGCGGTTTTTTCTCTGGGAGGCTTTTTTTTTTTTTCTTTTTTTTTTGGAACCTGTAAAGGCCATTTGCCCAGAACTGAAGAAACTGGGTGCAGTTTTATGACTCATTTAATCACGGGCTAACTGACGGCCAGATCTTCGATGGGAGTCACCTTTGAAAATACAAGCTGGAGTTGTGAGGCATAATAGCATGAGCTGCCGTCATTTTACCACAAAGGCTATTCAAACACATGGTGGGATACTTAGAAGGATGTGTGGGGATCTGAGTTATTACTTTACCTTTTCACCCTGTTCTCCCTTTTCACCCTGTTGGAAAAGAAAAAAAGGGAATTAGACACAGGACAGGTTGGATGGTGGATGGGGGAGTTGGGCTGGGCTGCAGTTATGCAAGTGTGGATTGTGTCTGGGGTTAAATTTGTGCTAGATTACAGAAATAGAGCAGTTTCTTGTTCCCCAGCCACACGTGTAAGTGCCAGTTTTTGTAAATGTTCTTTTGGGAAAACCTTTCATGTGTAAAACTTAGCAAACTGCAGCTCCAAAAGCTCAAAAAATACATAGAGACATTTACAATTAACTTGGGCCACATTGACGTCTTCATGCTTAAAGATGGAAAAATAATCATTAGAAATGGATATTTGACGAAACAAATGGCAGCACAACACAAAAGCCACAGACAATGAGCAAAAAGTAAAGCAGTACTCGAAGCAGAAAGAAAATGTGACGTTAAAAGAATAAGAGCACACAGAAAGCGTGTGCACCAGACCTTGGCCCCTGGGATTCCGTCCTGTCCTGGGATGCCAACATCTCCCTATTGACAGCACAACACACAGCAGCTGCATTCAGTGTGTGTCCTATCAAAGTTTGAACTCCAATTCTAGATCTGGACATACAAAATTGCACATATGCACGGAGCGTTCTACTTCTGCCGTCCTTATAGTTGAAATAAAGCCTGAAGAGGTAATAGAGTCTACTGCTAACTGCTGCGTGCTTCCAAGAGTCTACTGGCGCTCTTGGCTCTGGGTCACGTTGTGTTACCGAGACTCTGCGTTGGCTGAGAATGCACGCTTTTTAACAACACCTTCAGTCAAAGGACACGACTAATGCAGAGTGGGAGTCAAAACACAAGAAGTAGATAAAAAGCTAGACTAACGCTGGAAAAAAACAAAAAACAAACCTGCATATGGAATATTTGGAAGTAATTTTGGAAATATTTGGAAATTTAAATTCACAAAACTGTTGAGGGTGGAGGGGGGGAAAGAGACAAGATTTGTAGATTTAACTTTGGCTGCTTGTAAGATGGTTGGAGACAACAGTTGGAATTGACATTGCGCATTAAAGTGCAGGTTTATTTCTTTATTCGCTTGAGCCTGCTCACCCCTCTGCCTGCAGCGGGATCCCTGGCTATAAAAACAGAACCAGGCTCCAGAAACAACTCAACGTAGTCTGTTTTAATCAACAGGACCAAGATCATTGCGAGGCATATGTATTACTCAAAGTTAATCTTCACAAAGATAGAAATATGTGTCCATAACAACAACAATCACATCTTTGCGCGCGCGCACACACACACACACACACACACACACTCCGTCAATAAGATCTTGCCTTCGAAAAGGAATTTTGTAAGTTTTTTCTGCATGAAGAAACAAAAGTTTGTCCTCAACATTTCTAACTTAAGAGCTTCCCATTCACTTTTACAACCTCTCTTTCTCCTGCTCATCCTCCTTATCACCTTGACAACTCTCCAAGTCATCTAGCTCTAGTTAATTAAAGTCTGTAAATTATAGCATCGTTTTCTCCACAGACGTTCTCCAGAGCTAGTTTCCAACTTTCTCTCATAAGAGCCACAAGCCTTTGAGCTCATCTGCACTTTCCCATGCGAACACACATATAAGTGAAGATTTATAAAATCTATGTGTACTGCATAGGGAGACCCAAAAGAAAATGACTAATTCGACATTTCTTGGACGGTAACACAGTTTTGATCTTTTATTTTTCTACAACCACCTTGATCTTTCAGTGCTCTGCATTAGCTTTTAGAGTGCAGCAGCTGTTGTTGGCTTGTTTATAGCACAATAACAAGCCAGACTCAATGTTTAGAGATAAAATGACTTTAAATCAGTCAATCCTAGCTAATCAGTTTTGTCATCAGATAATCGAGGAGAACTCCTAGGTTCGGTTTGCGAAACAATAACCACGAAGCTACCATGGGGCTCAATTTTCTCATCTACAAGAGAGAAGAGCATGCGTTATGGTGCTCAACCAGCGAAACCCTAAACATACTGAATCTGTTTGGTACGAGAAAAAAAAAAAAAAAATCAAAGGATAAACATTAACAGAGCTGGCCAAAAACTAAATACTTATTGTTTTGTTTCCTGGATATCAGTAAAAGAGGAAAACCAAGTCCATCTGGTCTAAAGCTTTAATCTCTCTGCAGCTCAAAGCGGTGAAACCGACCTCAGTGCATTTGTTGCCAAAAATAATTAACCTCCTGGACCTTTGCAAACCTACCACATCGTTACCTTTTCTCAAGAAGTAACTACTTCCAAAGGCAGACGGGCAGCTCCAACCAGACGAAGTCGCTTAGTGACAGAAAGTACAAGACTTTGGTGTTTTGATTAAAACTACAGTCAGTAAGTAGCTCGGAATTAATCAAACTGCAAGAAAATATATATGTAGCAGGAAGCTATTTTATTTCATCGCCATAAATAAGACGGCCGTTGATGTTATTCCTCTGTTTCTCGTCCTTGTTTTCATTTTTAACCCAACGCCGTGATTTAATGACGCCTTGCGGTGAAGATCAGCGTGTATGATCCATGTGTGAACTCCCCCTTCGCCCCACCGCCACCCCAGCGGTGATGATACTTCATGAGCGCTGGGACTCTGCATCATTCATCAGACCACATATGGGAGTCATTGACATAATGACGATGCTGTGCAACCACGGCTGCGATGGAGTTTGATTAAAAACCAATGCTGATAAGGTTTGCCTTGCCAGTTGTCCGCCCTTCTTGGTGAGCGTTGCTGTCAGACCAGCGCAACGTCTGACAGCCAACCTGCCACTGCAGAAGGATCAGGCACTGACTGCCTCCGAGTTCAACTTTCTGCATGAATGAGACTTACATACCATAACAGGCTGTTTTATAGATGGATTGCACAGCTCTGGAGTTCTATTTCATGGCTGCTGGCAAACCCAACTCATTTCACAAGTGTGGAATTAAGCCTCCAGCTTTAGCTGTTTCCAGGGTTTGCATGGCTTTCACACTGAAATGAAGCTTCTTTTACTCTGGTTCCTATTATAGCCACACAGGCCTCTCTGCTCTTTATCAATGTGTGCTTAAAATTAAAAAGATGGCGCAAAGTCACGCCATTCATTAAGTGATTATTTTGGAGTGAAAAAACAAAAACAGCTTTTCTTATTTTTACATTTTGCTCCGATTTTCAGAACACCTGCACTGTGTCTGCTTTACTGGAAAGTGAATTTCAGAAATTAGCTCAGTGTGTGAACAGATACACATGCTTCCAAAAACCGTACTCTGTGGTCAGGACCTGCAGATGCAGCCCAGGGGTATTCTCCTAAATAGAAAAATGGTTTGAAATTGTCAAAATGCATGTCAGAGCCGATCTAACATGAGCAGAGCTCCATTTGGCTAAGTATGCGGCAGGGTTTTTTTTTTTTTTTCCCCAAGATTTTCAGTCAGTTGCAAAAAAAAAAGAATAAACATAACAAGATTATTTGATTTAACAGCTGAGCTGCTATAACACACCTTGAAAAGGGTATTGTTGCCAGATTTTCTGTTTTCAAATAAAATGGAAAAGAAAAACTAAACCAATAGTGTTGAGGAATAAATTATTACCTTGGTCTCCATAACCTAGTGTGCAGTGCATTTATGATCTTACTTGCTAGGTCTGATTTGCACACTTATAAAATGACTTAAAACGATAAAAAGTGGGATCCAATAATGTTTATACATTATGGAAACAAAAGTAGTAATTTTAAAAAGCCGTTAACAAAAGACTGCAGGATTGATAGTAAATAAGTAGGTTCACTAGATCTTATCTTACCATGTATGGTGTCACATTGCACTTTGTAAAACATGTGAGTATTGTTAAAATGCACTCTTATTATTTACATATATGTGGCACGGTGTTACTTCTGAAGTGACATAATCGTCTTGTTTTGTTTTTTACACTTAATTCTCATCCGACCACCTTCGGCTCAAAGTTTGAAGCACTGAACAAAGTCTATGACTGACCAAAAGTGGTTGAAAAATTGTTAGATGTTATCCATTATTGTTATTATTGTCTTTTCAACTCATTTTTAGAATTTTTTTTTTTTATTGCAGTAGAGCACGTGCATTTCTGTAAACCATAAGGCCTGAGCAATACCTACTCAATATTTCTTAATTATTTTTTTTTTTTAAGATTTG